AGTCTGTGACAAGGTATAACGCATCACATATTGGGGACATAAAATTAGCAAAAATTAGTCCCTGTGAATATCTGCAAGATATTTCTGGCTACATACAAATATTTAACAAGCATTTTCCATATAGTTGCAATCACTAAAGTGAGACAATAATAAATAAATCTTACTTCTCTGTAGCATGGCAAATAGTACCACATGTGTCTGCCATGTCATCAACTAAAATAGCAACTCTGTCTTTAACATCACCAACTAGGACCATTGAAGCTACTTCATTAGCTTTTTTTCGTTCTTTATGGATCAAGGCAAAGTCAACATTTAATCTGTCTGCTATTGATGTTACTCTGTGAAAACATTCAAAGGCAAAACATTGTCATTGTCTGCTTTGCACATAAAGCCCTGAATATACATTGTTTTAACCATTGCTGAGTTTGGACAAATTACTACTTGTAAAAGTCTGAATATAAAGCGTGGTTTATATTACAATGTATCAATTTAAAAATTGGGGTCAAAAGCTCAAGTTTGGGGTGCAGTTTATATTATGTACATATTGCAATCACTAAATCGCTTGAATATAGACATCACCCTAATTTAGGCGTCGGGGAAGAGTGAAAGGCCTTACTAAAATAGACTACACGAAATGTTGAAAAATTACAGTAAAAAAAAACTTGTAAAAATTAACATAGTATATTCAATGTAATATGCCTTTATTTAACGGAAAGTATATTCTAACAGAAGTTTCAAATAAAAACAAACGCTAATGCATTGCTTTAGTAGTAAATGATCACAGTACGGTAGCGCAATCCGGTCATGCTTCAGTTCACAAAAGAATAACTTGCTTGTTTTTGAAGTGTTGAAATTGTTGATTATTACTCAATCGTTATTATATCGCACGAAAAATAAACTCGTTGAATTGTTATGAAAGATTGATCGATAATGTAGTGCGATTTTTTGCCTTTGATTTCCATGGGGAAACAAGACGATTTTCCAAAGATAAACTTGGCATTGAAAAATTTACCACTTTTATAGTGGTAACAGCTCATGGTCAAAAACTTGCGAAACCTGGACATAGCCATAAGGACTATTGACAATGGTTGCCACCAGAACAAAAGCAGTTTCACTGCGCGTCTGACATCTTATCGTTGAACAATAGGTGTGAATATTTTTAGGCACATGGTAGAAACAAATGAATAAGATTAGGAACAATCATGGAAGGTACTAATGGAAGGAGCCAAGACTCCTCTCAAGTGGCAACTTAAGCTTCTTATTTTCTTTTGTTTCAACACAAGTTAATCCTGATGAGGACATTGTCTAGCTCATCTTTGATGTCGATGATAGTTTGCGATTGTTTACACAAGTAACGAGTTAGCGGAATATGACACAACCCCGCCGATTTTTAATGTGACCATAAAATATATGCCCATTATGAAACTACGGTCATTACACATGCGCACTTGGTTTGTTTAGGTGTGAAAGGTCAAAATATGCATTTCACAACCGGAAAGTCAACAGATGAACGTTTGACTTCACAGATTTCACATGTTTTAGTTATTAGCAACTGCAAGAACAAGATTTTGAGTGGCTACAACAAAATTTCCTAAGGACTCCTAAAAAATATTATCACAGAAAAAGTGTCAAGGCATGCCCCTCTTTTGATAATATCTTTTATGGTGGTGTTCGCCGATGCCCGGTGGCCAAAATTTCAATTGTTTCGGGCGTCAAACCCACGCAATGACAATAGTTCCATTGAATAATGCAATCGTTATTGTCACTTGGGTTTGTTATGGGTTTGTTATGCGGCGAGCGGAAAAAAAATGATATTTTTTTTAGCAATTTTTCTAGATTTGAAATATTTGTAATCTACCTTTTAGCACCCCCTGCATCAGGTGATACAATACAACTGTTCTTCCATTCTGGGATGTTTTCCCGCACCCATTTCAGTACTGCTGGTTCAGCATACAAATTATCCACTGGAATATCAAAGAAACCCTACCAAAAAATAAACTTGTTAGGATAACAAAACACATTGAAAGTGATAAACGAGTATGCAAATTACCTACTTATTATTTAATATCAATCAGGTCTGGATTTCATCATGAAGTATCTGTACCAAATTGCATTATAATCTACCTAGTGATTATTGAGATATTGTAGAAACAAGATTTGACATGCCAACACCCATCCAAAAAATAAGTGTTTTTGTCGTCAACTAGCAAATCAGAATTTACATTGTATAAACTAAAAACTCAAAGTTTACCTGTATTTGTGAAGCATGTAAATCCATGGTTATGATATGATCAGCTCCTGCCACAGACAACATATTTGCTACCAACTTCGCTGATATCGGTGCACGACTCTGTAATTTGATCATTATCATATCAGCTTTAATAGGAAGCTGATTTGTATGGGATTGGTTTAGTGCATTATTTATTCACTGTTTTCATTTCATTAATTTAATTTTCTCCGACATAATATAACAATTGACATCGCTGTTCAAAATTAACTTGTATTGTATGAAATCGACCTAGTGTGTTTAATTTCAGACCGACTTTCTATTAACCAAGGATTTGTTAACTGGGATGCATCAAGTTTTTTTGATTTTTTTTTCACAGCATAACCTGATTACACTACAATAATCATTTGCTAACAACTAAGCACTGCATTCGTGTTTGTTTTTATTTAGACTAATTTTCGCAACTAACAAAATTAAAACCAATGCTCATTACATTACACATTTAGAACCATAATAAAACTTGTCATTACCTTATCCTTTTTATCTTGTCTTGCATATGGAAATAGAGGTATGACTGCAGTAACACGGGCAGCTGAAGCAATCTTGCATGCATTAATCATAATTAACATTTCCATTAAATTATCATTGATGTCCCCACATCCACTTTGTACAATATAGACATCTTCTCCACGTACACTCTCGCCAATTTCCACACTGCACAAAAAAACAACAAATAAAACAAGCATTTAAGAACAATTCAATTACATAGACCCACATAATCAAATCTAATAGAAGACCACCCAATGTACATTATATATCAAGTCTAAAATCAATTGTACAGGGTTGTTAAGAAAATCAAAAATGTTTGTTAAAATTGGAGAATTGAAGAAATCATTTTGGTAGTAAGCATTTTTACATTGCGACCATTGCGCATTGAAACCAAAGCTAACAATTTCAGACTTGTGAATACTGCAATTGTTACATTTGGTATACAGAACCATGGAGGTAAAAAGGAGTCGCAGCCAAAATGATCCTCCTAAACTTTTGTTTTAGCCAAGTTTAATCCTATAATTCCCTTCGTCTTATTGTCATTTACCCTCAAGCATTGCTGCGTACAGTACACACTCCAGGGTCTTGTTTTACAGTGTCGCAGTAAATGCCAAAGGGCACAACGCATGCACAGATCTTTTATACTTGCAGGAAT